TTTCTTCTCAGACAGAGATCAATCTCAAGGGAATTTCCCTCTATTGAAGCTTCAAGTGCCATTTTAAAAGCAGCCTTGTCATCTTCCCTAATGGGTGTTTTCCTTGGAGTCTGTATTGGGAGTGGTGTGGGGAAGGAGACTGTATAAAGGAATGCTTGCTCCTTAAGAGCTGGGTTTATCTAAAATCCTGCCAGGGGATTTTTCGACAGGTTAGAGGAAGAGAGCAGTGTATTGAGGAAGAGATAGGCTCCCTCCTTAAGGGAGGATTCTCTCAAACCTGGGTGTTTTCCTGAAACATTCTGCAGGAAAGCTATTAGGAGAAATTTTCCTTTTGTCTGAAGACAGGAAGTATTAAGAATTAGAGCAGGAGAAGAGAATGCAGGAACTCTTCTGGAACAAGGGTTATATACATCATAAGATTGCTATCAAATTTAGGGGGTGGGACAGGGACCTAGTCTTACTCAATTTGATGGCCTGTCTGTTGTTGCCTTGTTCAGAGTGGGGCTTCCATAAATGCTTATGAAGTAAATCTCATCTTTATTTGATTTTCATAATCTTTGACGATTCCTTGCAGTTACGTGAAGTAAAAATATAAGGGGCTTAGATCCCTGGGTTTAGATTCCAGCTCTGCCTACCTGTGTGACCTTGGACAAGTAACTTAACCTCTCTGATTCTCAGTTTCCTCACTTGTACAATGAGCAGTAACTCACAGGATTTTCTTTTTTTTTTTTTTTGAGAGTTGAATGAGATAACTTAATGACATACTAGATCTATTGAACATTTAGTAAGGGCTCAATAAATGTTAGTTTTCTTCCCTCTTTCTTCTGTATTCCCATTTGTTTGTGGTTCTCATCTCCATCTGCACATTAGAATCACCTAGGGAGTTTTAAAAAAGCACAGTTGTTTAGGCCCTACCCACTGAGATTTGGATTTAATTGGTCTGTGGTAGGACTCGAGCATGGGTATTTTTAAAAAACACCTGTTAAAGTATATGTTTTCTTAAAAGGTAAAATCATAACTCCCATAAAAATATGAAATGAACACATGACAAAGATTTAACTTGTTAACTGGAGAAACCAGTAAGATGTTACAACAAGTTCAAATAATTCAAACGACACACACATATTGGCAATGGGAATGCTGAAATGAATTTACAAGTAGAGGCAAAATTGGTCAATAGCCACAGAGTAAGAACCAATTGTGTTGCATTATGGAAAATTCTTTTGTATCTCTCTGTGTAAGAATCATTTGCATTACTTTGTGCTTTGCATATTTTACAGAGTTGTGAAGTAGCTCAAAGGTAGTAAACGTTTCAGACCCCTGTGGAATAGATACTTTGACCAATAAGTTAAACAAGACACCCTATCATATGCCTTTTTGTCCATTTCAATGTCTTTCACCCTTTCCCAGGGATCTCAATATGCAATCAGGGATAAGGACTCTGCCATAGACTTTTGTACAGGGCTCTTTTATCACTGTTATCACACTGTGCTATAGTTATTTGCTTATGAGTTGTCCCACAGGTGACGGAGAATTCTTGACATACAGGGTTCATGTTCTATTTATTTTTGTAGCTCAGTACCAAGCACACTGCCTGGCCTACCATAAGTGCTTAAAAACTGCTACACTAATAATTGAATTGAATCTAATGAAAACTCTTAAAGCAGGCATCCTCAAACTATGGCCCACAGGCCACATGCGGCCTACCTAGGACATTTATCCCACCCGCCGGGTGTTTTTGCTGCCACTGCCTGTCCTGCTTAGCAGCCAGCTTGTCCCAGGGCCTGCAGTCCAGCCCTCCAAAGGTCTGAGGGACAGTGAACTGGCCCCCTGTTTAAAAAGTTTGAAGACCCCTGTCTTACAGGATGACGAGTAGAAGCATTCTCCAGCTTCTGATGTGGAAACTGGCTCTGATAAGATCACAAAGTGGGCTTGTGATGAAATGGGGACTCCCTCAACCTCAATTCACTCAACAATTCATAAGTACCTACTGTGTGCCAGTCTGGGGTAGCAATGAGCAGAAATAGCACAAAGTCCTTGTCCTCCCGACTTTACAAGTAGTGCAACATGGCTCAGAAATCATGGGCCCAGGCCTGGCTTGTCCTTGAAGTCAGTGGTTATTAGCTGTGTGACCTTAGACAGATTACCTTTCCTGTGCTTGCATTTTCTTATCTGTTAAGTAGGGAAGCCTACCGCAAAAGCCTTGTGTGGTAACATGACACACAGTGTTTGAAACCATTCCTGGTGCTTTGTATGTGCTCAATAAACTTAGCTGCTACCACCTGTCACTGGGTCAGGTCCTGGGCTGCAAAGATGAGGAGAACTTAGATTCTCCTGGTACTTGGGAAGCTCACAGTTGAGGGGGTAGAAAGGGACGTAGTGGATCATTGTCAGGTAACATGGTAAGTGCAGCCTTGGAGATGCAAGGAGGATCATGGGAGCACAGGGAGGGGTGGGGAGCTGGAGAGCAGGTCTTCCGGGGAGCTGAGGCTTCAAGCTTTATGGGGGCCCATTAGGAGACTGCCACAGTCTTTGAGGTGAGAAAGTGAGGCCTGACTAAGATCACAGCAGAGGAGGTGGGGACAGGTGAGATATATAGCAGATGGGATTGACTGGAACAAAAATTGATTTGATGAAGGGGTAAGGGATAAGAAGACCCCAGATCTAGGGCTCCTTGGTTGACCCCACACTGCCATGAGTAGGAGTTTCCTTTTGCAAGCTTCTAACTTAATTCAGGATAGAAGGAAACACTCAGAACACGGCCCAGGTAGCCCAGGGAGTTGCCTACCATGTGTGCAAGGGGCCCATGTGCTGGCATTTTCCTGGACTCCAGAGCCCCATCAGGGAAGGCTGATACTCAGGAGTAATTTTTTATTTTGGTAATTACTTCATAAGTCAAAAAAAAAATACCAATGTATTTAAAAAGTTTAATGATCTATTTTAAATATTTTGTTTGCCTGTCTATTCATTTGGAGACTCTGGGAATATCATAATGAAAAACAAAATCCTGTGTATTAAACAGATAATAAAAGAGAGCTGGGTTTTGTTTGCTCATTTGTTGGGACAGTCTTACTCTATTGCCCATGCCATGACCTCAGCCTACCTCACAGCAACCTCAGTCTTCTGGGTTCAAGCAATCCTCCTGCCTCAGCCTCCTAAGTAGTTGGGACAATGCCCAGTTAGGTTTTCTATTTTTAGTAGAGACGGGGTCTCACTCTTGCTTGGGTTGGTCTTGAACTTCCCACCTCCACCTCCCAGAGTGGCTAGGGTTACAGGGGTGAGCCACTGTTTTGATGGAAAGAGAACTGTTTTGATGGAATTACCGGCCTGGAATCATACCCATTCTGCTCTCCTCCATGGTATGGAAAGTCTCCAAGGAACTCAGAGCCCAGTGGACCACATTCTGATCCAGTGGTTCTCAGAGTGGGGTTCCTGAACCATCAGCATTAGCATCACCTTTAAAAATGCAGAGTCTCTGGCCCCACTCTGGTCCTACTGAATCAGAACCTCCCGGAGTGAGGCTACAATCTGTATTTCAATAAGTATTCTATGAGGAGTGACTTGCCTAAAGTCATTTGGGAAGTTTAATGGGATTCAATTATTTAGTGCCTATTGTGCACAAAATTCTAGAGTATCTGCTGTAAGGGAAACCAAGAAAATTAAGTCTCTGAAAGAGGTTCGGCAGTGTACCCAGAGACGAGACCAGGAGATGTTTAGGCCAAGTTAATGAAAGGAGACTGAAACTTGCCTGGGAAAAGATGGTGGCTGCACCGAGAGTGGTTGGGGGCCTGTTCCTACACTGGGTATAGAGGGAGGAAGACCTCACAGGCTGCTGGAAGGCCCTGGAGGGCCAGGTAGTCCCCCACCTCTCGAACTCCTGGGATGGGGCCTGGCAGGCACCCTGTTTTGGGATGGGAGGTTGGGGAAGGGTCCAGGCACCTAACAGTCTCTGTATTAGTTAGTTACTGCCGAGTAACAAATTACTCTTTAAACAGCAGGGTCAGGAATCCGGGTGTAGCTTTGCTGGGTCCTCTGGCTCAGGGTCTCTTACAAGGCCTCAGTGAAAGTGTTAGCCAGGGCCTCAATCATCTCAAGGTTCAAATGGGCAAGATTTACTTCCAAGCTCACTGAGTGAGTGATTGTTGGCAGGATTCAGTTCTTGCAGGTGGGTGGGCTCACAGCCACTCTCCTCACTGGCTATTGGCCTGAGGCCCCCATTATTTCCTTGCCATCCTCTCCACAAAGCAGCTCATGACATGGCAGCTGGCTTCTCCAAAGTGAGAAAGCAAGACAAAGTAAGAGAGAGCGCCCGAGATGGAAGTCATAGTTGATTATAACATGATCTTGGAAGTCATGTCCTGTGACTTGTGCAATATTCTATTCATTAGAAGTACATCATTAGGTCCAGCCCACATTCAAGAGGAGGTGTAAACAAGGGGATGACTGTGAAAAGGTGAGGATCTTTTAGTAGGCTGTCTCCCACAGTTCCTGCCTCTGCCCTTGTGATGCTCTTGTGGAGCATCAAATAAGTACACCCCTAATTTTGGAGTCAGTCTGAAAAGAACAGGGGTCATAGTGGTGTGCACAAGTTCAGGGTAGGCCCCAAGAAATAAAGCGCCCTGTTGGAGGAATTAGGAAGGTTTCCTGGAAGAGGTGCCATTTACTATGGGCCTTGAAGGAATGAAAGACATGCCACTTGCAGAGAAGGGTGCAGCAGAGGCAGAGGCAGTGAGGCAGGAAAGTGAGGGCCTGCCCAGTGTCAAAACCACCCAGCTCATGTGGAGCATAGATAAAGGGAGAATGAAGGTGATGTAAGCTGGAGCCAGCTGTGCAAGGATTCCCTTGTGAGAGGGGGAAGCTCCCACCTGGAATAGGAGGGGGTGGGGGCTCAGGAGCCCAGAGAGGCAGGGCTTCATGCCAGGACTGTGGGGCTCCCTGTCCAGCGCTCTTCTTGCCCTACTGGCCTGGCCCCAAGGCCCACACCCCATCTTCTCTTGCAGTTTGGGCGCACAGAAGTCATCGACAACACACTCAATCCCGACTTCGTGCGCAAGTTCATTGTGGATTATTTCTTTGAGGAGAAGCAGAACCTCCGCTTTGACCTGTAAGTGGAAGAAGGTGCTGAAGATGGACTGGGGGAGGAGCCAGTGCTGGGGGGGCAGCGCTGTGAGCCCTGTGGTGGAGGCAGGAGTTTGCCTTACAGGGAGGGTGGGAGGAGCTGAGATACTAGGAGGGAAGAGCTAGAGTTGGCCTGGGATGAAAGTGACAACTAGCTAAAGTCCATCCCCACCCTTCCCAGAAGATGGAAATGGGGTGGGGGAGGGAACAAAGTCACCTCCCCCCAGTTTGTCTCAGTGAAGTGGGGAAAGATGCTGGGCAAGCTGTGTGGGACCAGGAATGTCCGCTGAGGAAAGATCGTGGGGCCAACTCTCAGCTTTACCTTTGGGAGCCTTTTCTCCTCTGGTAAGTCCCTGACCTCTCTTCCTGTCAAAGTGTGTTTTGAGAGAGGGTCCCCCAGTCTCCCCTCCTGCAGAAGTAACCTGGCTGAGGCAGGAAAGGCATCTGACACCCATCAAAAGATAAGAGAGTGCCCCTGCCCAAGATCAGGGTGGGATTTTGGTCTTGGCAAACCGGTGCAGGGGGCTGTGGTGGTGTTTCTATGGGATGTGGGCTGTTTAGAAAGGTCTGTGTCCCAGAGAAGAGTGGACAGAGTGAGAAAGAAGGGGGTTTGGGGCCTGAGAGAGCAAAGGAAAAGATTCAGTGGAAGGAAATGACTTGACAGGGAGTGAAGGAAGGAGTTAAGGCTGAGGAGAATCAACACAGCCCATTGTAGATGACATTTTGGAGAGGTTAAGTGCTCAGAACGCTAGTGAGAGAATGCCACCCCTCAGCAGGAGTCATCTGGGCCTGGAATGCCTATTTGGTGGTGGGGGAGGAATGTTGGAGGAGGGTTGCAGGTGGAGTTCCAGGTGAGTAGGCTCCAGGTGGGGAGAGGAGCCCAGCTGTGGGCTCAGCTTGCCCTCTGAGCCAAGGTGGAGGCCCAAGAACAAGCTGGGCAGGCCTGGGTAGGGTGAAGCAATAAGGGAAGGTCAAAGGCAAGGCACTGGGCTCCGTGACAGCCAAGCCTTGGCTGGGAAGACAAGGCACAGAAAGTGAAGAATAAAGTGGCTCCAGCCACCTGTGAAGCAGCTGGAGTGGCAGTGCTCATTTTTTTTTCTTCTTTCAAGTTTTAATGAAGTATAACATAATATAGTGAAGTGCATAAATCTTTAGAGTCTATTCCAGGTGTCCTCAAACTATAGCCCAAGGGCCACATGTGGCTCGCCAGGTGTTTTTGCCACCGTTGCCTGTCCTGCTTAGCAGCCAACTCGTCCCCACAGTCTGGCCCTTCAACAGTCTGAGGGACAGTGAACTGGCCCCGTGTTTAAAAAGTTTGAGGATCCCATGAGAAAAACATTTTTACACCTGTTTATACCCATGCAACCATCACCCAGATGAAGAGACAGAACATATCAAGCACCCAGAAGCCTCCCTTTTGTGCCTTCCAGCTATTAGTTCTAGAAATATACACTGTTTTAGATCTGGTTTTGGGAGCCAGGGTCCAAATTCAACTCAAGAACACAGTCAGGGCTGTGTAGGATGCTCTCAGCTCCTTCACCATTTTTCTCTGTATTCCCTGCAGATATGATGTTGACTCCAAGAGCCCTGATTTATCAAAACACGTGAGTTCTGCCAGCAATTTCATAGTTTCTTAAATGCCACCTTCTAGGTTGGCCTTGGGTTTCACTGTGATGAAGTATGTGTCTGATGCTGCATCTGGGCATTTCAGAGCCCTCGTACTTCTGGGGCTGGGCAGTGGGGGAAGTGGGATAACTGTGGCAGAATGGGTAACACTGGTCTTTTCTGTCCCCTGGATATGCAGGATTTCCTGGGCCAGGCTTTCTGCACCCTTGGAGAGATTGTGGGGTCCCCTGGGAGCCGCCTGGAGAAGCCCCTCACGTGAGTGTAGAAGGGGACACAGCCTGTCTGAGTTGCTTCCCCCATGATGAGCCAACTTCCTGCCCACCCTGCTGAGGGCTGGCTCATGGTGGGGGCAAGGCAGTCAGCCAGTTATGACAGGATTTGCAGGGTGACTAGGAATAAGGAATATGGGCACTGATCTGACAGGGCCTCTAACCCAATTACCTTAGGACCCTGGCTGATTTATTAGAGCCTCATGCTCCTGGGAAGGCCTTACATACTATCCTATCCATTCCCACCAGACCCCTATCTGGAAAAAACTAGCCCAGAGAGGAGAAGTGACTTGCCCAAGGCCACACAGCTAGGAGGTGGGAGAGCTGGGATTTAAACCCTGGGCTCTACTCAGATTGCACATACCTTAGACTGTTCACAGCTTGTAGTTCAAAGCTGTGAACAGTGAGCTGTGTACCAGTCTCACCCTGCCCCTGACAGTCTGCACTGTGGGACCTTAAGGTGATGTCAGAGGGAAGCTATTATTCTGAGCAGGCTCTGGGATGAGGAATCCCACACCTCGCCTGGGAGTGTCTTGGTCAGGTGGTGAGGGCGACTTCTTCTGTTCCTATTTCTCAGGAAGCCTCAGGGGCAGGACCCAGAAAAGAGAGTCCTACGGACTGGGACAGGCGTCCAGGCCACAAGGCAGAACAGTCAGGAGGTTGGGGTTAGGCTGGGCTAGGCATCAGTCCCCCCAACACACACCTGCTGCAGTATGTGTATGTGTATGTGGTATGTAGGTGTGGCATGTATGTGTGGTGTGTGTAATGTTTGTGGGTGTGTTGTGTGTGTGTTGTGTGTGTATTGTGTGTGTGGTATGTGTAGAGGTGTGTTGTGTGTGTAGTATATGGTGTGTGTAGGGTGTGTGTGTATGTGGGTGTGGGGGTGTTGTACGGAGTCTCTCTCCTAGGCCCTTGTCTGTCACCCTTAATAATGGAGTGGTGACTTCAGGGCCCCCAGAAAGGTTTCATCTCTGGATTTCTAGAAAATGAAAATAACTATCATTTATTGAGAACAGGGGAATACCTGCATTTGAAGGGCTCTGAAGCTTGTAAAATTTGGGGACCTTTTCAAAAAAAGAATACAAAATTCACATTCAAATTTGTTAGGCCTTTCTCTCCTTGGACATATCTTTAAAATTTTTATTTGTAATTTTGTATTCTTTCTCTACCTTGGAAAGGGCTATGAGACTGAGGGTGGGGGGTTCGAGAACATCTGCCCCCTTTGCCTATTTCAGTGTTAACCACCTGCTAAGTATTACATGCTGGAGACCGGTAGCGCCACCCCCAGCCCACACCCCTCACCCCGCAGGGTTGTCCCCGGATCGCCATGTTGGAGATGTCCCCAGGAGTAGGTATGTCTGTGCTTCTAGCTCCCACATGCCTGGGGCAGAAGCCACTAGTCTTTTCTTTTTTTTTTTTTTGAGACAGAGTCTCACTTTTGTCACCCTCAGTAGAATACTGAATCATCACAGCTCACAGCAACCTCTAGCTCTTGGGCTTTGGCGTTTCTCTTCCTCGGCCTCCATAGTAGCTGGGACTACAGGTGCCCACCACAATGGCCAGCTATTTTTTGTTGCAATTTGGCCGGGGTCAGGTTCAAACCCGCCACCTACAGTATATGGGGCTGGCACCCAACTCACTGAGCCACAAGTGCTGCCCAAGTCATTTGGGTTTGTTTCCTGCCTGCTGTCACCTGGTCCACCTTTGGTGGAGGGGCATATCTTCTGGGGATGGGGATTAGGAAGCCTTCTGTGGAAGATGGCTTTCACATTGAGCCCTAAGGGACAAGCAAGATCTAAAATATAGAGGTTGATGGGATGTGGGTGGAGGAAGTGGACCTTTCACCCCCTTCCCCATTGCAGGTTTCCTGTGTCTAAGTTTAGTTGTCTTCCTGACTAAACTCTGTGAACAGCTCTTGTTTACTGGGCACTTATTCTGGGCCAGACATGAGGGTCAGTGCTTTGCTTATGAAATCTGTATTAATTTGCTAGAGGTGTTGTAGCAACTACCACAGACTGTGTGGCTTAAATAACGGAAATTTATTTTCTTACAATTCTGGAGGCTAGAAGTCCAAGATCAAGAGGTTGACAGGGTTGATTTCTTCCGAGGCCTCTCTCCCTAGCTGGTAGCTGGCCGTCTTCTTTCTCCTCCCTGCATCTTCACCTGGTCTTTCCCCATGTGCATCTGTGTCCTAATCTCTTCTCAGAAGAAGATAAGAGTCATAGGACCTCATTTTGCCAAAATTACCTCTTTAAACCCTATCTCCAAATATAGTCACGTTCTGAGGTCCTGGGAATTAAGACTTCAACAGAGGAATTTTGGGGAATGCAATTCAGCTCCTAACATGACCTCGTGCTTTCTTCAGGAATCTCCCCATTTCAAAGGCTGGATGCTAAAGCTGGAAGAGGTAGAGCAGTGGTTCTCAGACTGTAACAGGCGTTTGCATCACCTGGGGGCTTGTTAAATCACAAATTACTGGTCCAGTAGGTACTGGATGAGGCCTGTGAATTTACATTTCTAACACATCTCCAGGGGATGCTTCTGGTTGAGTATCCCACTTTGAGAACCTTTGAAGTAGATAGAGTAACTTACGCAGAAAAAGTCCTCTCCTTCCCTGGTGTGTGGCATAGGGCACTGTTTTAAGGATCTCTAAAACAGAAACTTGGAGTCCCCAAGAATCTGGGTGCCAACTGCGCTGGCCTCTCTGGTTTTGGGGTATGTGGCTTATGGAATGTTCTCTCTTCCACTCTCTCTACAGGATAGGAGCATTCAGCCTGAATTCCAGGACAGGCAAACCCATGCCAGCCGTGTCCAATGGGTAGGTCACCAGACGTTTCTGGCCTTGGAGTCCTCAGACATTCAGCCAGCTCTGAAGAGAGCCTCAGAGTCTGGGCCCAGTCCCTGCTCCCATCACTGTGAATTCAGCTCTGGTTAAGGAGACAAAGGGGGACCTAGGCACTTTGGGTCCTGGACAGAGGCCCCTCACCCTGCAGCTGACCCCTTCCCCACCCAGGCTAGAGCTTGTGCACCCAAGCCCCAGGGGCTCATGGGATTTGAGGGACCAGGCTGGGGCTTAGAGGTGGGGCTCCTTTCTAGGAATCAGCGGGGCCAGGCACTCTCCACTCCTTCCTCTCTCCCCAGCCTAGTTTCTTCCACTCTTACCACAGCCCCGTTCTCTGCCCCTTTTCCTCTCCTTATCCCCTCACCAATACCGGCTTGCCTCCATTGTTTTCACTGCTGGGTGTCAGCCTCCCCCTCACCACAGAGTAGATTCAGCTGAATCTCCACTTTTCACATTGCTCACCAGCTGCAGTGGGCCAGCCTCCCTCCCCCGACCCCAGCTTGACCATCTGGTTTTGGATGGTCATGCAGAGCCTCCCCACTTCCTCCCTCTCTGTCCCTCCTGGTTGGAGAGTCCCTGCCCTGGCTTCTTTTTCATGCCTGCTGGGGGGCAGGGCAGGGCGCATCTGGCTGGACGACCAGCCAAAGGGCATTTCAGAGGGGTAAGCAAAGCTCCCTGGCCTTTCCTGAGGGCTCCCAGGACTTGGGGTTTTAGCAGCTGGATTGGTCACCAGACCAGCTGCACGTGAGGAAGGGGCCTTCAGGGGACCCAGAGTGCTCCCAACCCAGGGAGAGTATGGACACCAATACATGAGGAAAGTAGAGATGCAGCAAGTGGACAGGGACAGGATTCAGACAGAGGTACAGAGACAGGGAGCGAGGGAGGGAGGAAGGAAGGCCAAGCAGGTGGGAGCAGGTTGGGGCTGGAGAGGAGGGAAAGAAAGATCGGAAATAGAAGAAGGACTCAGAGGCAAAGAGAGGAACAGATGGAGAAGCATGGGGCGGAGGAGGATTCTATCTCTCTGGGCAAACAAATCATGTCTTTACTACCATGGAGGACCAGACCAGGGGGTGGGGAAGGGCTTGGGGCACTCAGCTCAGCTGCCCAAGTCTGGGGGGACAAGCTGGCAGGCAGTGGCACCTGCTTGGGGCAGGAGAGCCCCAGATGTGGCCCCTGTTCTGCTCCCCTAATTTGGAGAGATTTGGGCTATCTCATCAGCACCCATGGCTCCCCTTCCTCCCCTGCCTCCTCTATTTGAGAGCCTCTCCCTCTAAGAGCTGGCTCTGGGAAGAGCTCCATCAGTGGTTCTCAAAGTATGTTCCACAGACAGCATGCTGGTGGCCCTGAGATGTAAGACTGGATTTTACCAACTTTGCATGATTTTGAAGCAAATGGTGCAGGGAGGGAGATGATGCTCACTGAAGGCCTTCGCTGTGCCGTGTGTGCATAGTGATTATGTGCTACACTCACATTCACTTTATAGGTGGGGAAACTGAGGCTCAGAAAGGTACAGTAATGAGCCCAAAGCTGTATAGCTGCTGGACAACTGGACATTTCCCTCCCCATCCCAGTGGCCCCTGGCTGCACTGGGACCCACCCTGGCTTTGTCCTAAACATCAGAGTGAGCTAGGCTGGTGCCTGGGGAGGAGTTTCCAGCTGACATGGGGAAGAGGTGGTGCAGGTCCCCTGCGTGGAGCTCCACCCTGGGATCTTGCCCTCCTGTGGGGATTCTCTGGGGTGGACTGACTTCATGGACCTTGTTCTGGTTGCTCACCTCTCTGAAAAGCTGCATGGTTGGCTGGGATCTCTCACCCCCAGGGAGACCCCAGCCAAGGTATTCAGGGGAGGTAGCCATGGGAGAGAGCCCGGGTGAGCTGCCACCAAGGGTATACAGCCCTCCTGCCTTCCTCCTTGCTGCTCTCCCTCCCATGATGCATCAGAGTGGCTCAGAGCTGGAATGTTCCGGGACTCTGGGGGTCAGCTGGGTGGGGTGGCTAGCCCATGAGGTCTTTTGCCCACAGAAGTGGTCTTTGGATGGAAAGTTTGAGAACCACTGGTCTGGAAGCCTCCGGGTGAGTCTGGATGCTTGTCTGATTCTAGGACTTTCACTGGAGATGTTACCCTTCCTCGTGGGCTCTCGGGGAGTAGGGGTGGGGCCTGCCCCAGGAAGCAGTACACTGGGCCACACTGCCACAAGTATTTCAGGAGACCTTGTCTTCTTGGGGCCATTGGGACAGATATGCTGGAGGGGAGGCGAGGGGGAGGACAGGGAGGGGCTGATCCAGGGACTGTTCAGGTTTGTGGCTCTGTCTTTGTCTGGCTTTCCATTCTTTTATCTTCTCCTCTCCCAGTGGTGTCCCAGGGAAGAAATGTGGCACCATCATCCTGTCGGCTGAGGAGCTCAGCAACTGTAGGGTGAGTGACGGAGGGGTGCCATGACAGGACATGGTGAGAGTGGGCAGTGACAGGGCCAGCTGGCCCAGGACCTAGTGTGCCCCTAGAGGGAACCAAGCATACACAGGGCTCCTGGTTCTGACCTATCCGAGAATTCTACAATATTGGAGCTGGGAGGTATCCCCCTTTTTTACAGATGAGCAGACTGAGGCTCAGAGAGGGGAGGGAACTCACCCATAGTGGCAGAGACAGAGCCAGGTTCTCTGCCTCCCAGGCCAGGCCGGCCTCTCCTCCCCATCATAACCACCACTCACATGTCCTTGCGCCAAGACTGCCTTGGCACTGTCGCTGGCAGCAGAGGGCCTTTTCAGTCTTTAAGGGAGCCTGGGAGCTTGACATTTAGCTGCCATTTGTCACTTTTATCTCTGGAGTAGGGTGACATCCTGCGTGGGGTTGAGGGAGGGAGAGTGTGTGTGGCAGCTAGAGTCTGCAGTCTCTGTCAGACCTTGGCTTTGCTTCTTGTGTAGGACTGTGGAGAAGGAGGAGACGAAGACAGCTGAAGGGGCAGCTGAGCACACCAAGAAGGGGCTCAGGGGACCTAAAGGCTAATAATAATGATAAAATATAATGGTGATAGTTGTTATTGGTCAAGTAATGGGCATTTTACATAAGTTATCACTACTTGGCCAGGCATGGTGGCTCACACCTGTTGTCCCAGCGCTGTGGGAGGCTGAGGCGGGTGGATCACCTGTGCTCAGAGGTTCGAGACCAGCTGAAGACCCGCCTGAGACAGAGTGAGCCAGAGTGAGACTCCGTCTCTACAACAACAACAAGACAGCCAGACCTTGTGATCCCAGCTACATGGGGGGCAAGAGAACACTACAGGAGGAAGAAGTAAAAAAAAAAAAAAAAAAGTTATCACTACTTACAGTAATCCAATAATAGGAGGCAGGTGCTAAAATATTATTCCTATATTATGGATGAGGAAATTGAGTCTCAGAGAGGCAAAGTCGCCTGTTCAGAGGATAATCAGCAGCAGAATCATGGTTCTAATCCAGGTCAACCTGATTCTAAAATCCAGGCTCATCCCCTAAATCACCAGGCTGAGTTCCTTTTAGGTTAACTAGGAACGACAGGTAGGAAGTGGTAGGATCCTGGGGAGGAGAGGAGGGGGCTGGGACAGAGGAAGGGAGGGCTGGAGAACGTGCACAAAGCCTGGGATAACCTGGCAGCACAGCTTCCTACAAGGATGAGGAGGAGAAATGAAGTTTTCTAACCTCCTGGGAAGTCAGCGCTACTATCATATAAGTGGTCTGTCAATACTTACCATGTTAGAAATTTAAACAGAAAAACATTTCTTAATGTATGTATTAATTCATTTTAAAATAGCAAGAATTGAATCCATTATGAGTTAGCATAAATAACACCTTTTTTTGAAAAGTAACTATATCTCACAAAAATCATTTCGTGAAAAGAGTGGCCTTGTTTTACATTTTTGTAAATCTCTTTTAATGTCTGGCTTAATTAGAAGACAGCTGGATTCTCATACCTGCTTCTGCAGTTAATCTGTTGTGATGTCACTATCAGGTAAACTCCAGAAAATTCTTCACATCATTATGGAAATAGTTCTGACCTCATGGGTTCCTAGTCCAAACTTTGAGAACTGCTAGTATAGAAGTTTATTAGTGTTAGCTAACATTAACTGAGCAATTATTCTGGGCCACGCACTGTGCCAAGTGGTTTGGGTGTGTTGACTTATTTATCTGATGTATTGTAATAGTTAATGTAGTATGCAGTATGATGTGTCAGAATATCTGATGTATTGTGGTCCTCATCAATTTGCTCCCCTTTACAGGTGAGGAAGGTGAAGCACAGAGAGGTTGAGTGACCTATCCAAGGTCACATAGCCACTGAGTAGAAGAGATTTGAACCTAGGCAATATTGTTCTAGACCTAAGGACTTTAACCACTAGGCTGTGGTGTCACAAACTCTTCTTTAAGGCCTTCCAGTTGGAGAGTAACACACACACAAACAGGACTGAGAATACAGGGCAATATAGAGATGACCAAAGAAATTCATATGGAGCTGCTCCTTCTGGTTGCCCTCCCTACCTGTTTGCCTCAGTGGATCTGAAGGAGCCTAACAGCAGGAGTAAACCCCACCCAGTGTGTGCACCTGCAGAGGGCTTGGCGCACAGTAGGCATTCACCAAGGATCTGTCTCAAATATGTGACTGAATGAAGGGGAAGCGTAGTAGCGGGTAATGGTGAACACTCCCATGCCTGTGTCCACCAGAGGTCACACAAGGGAGAGAACTTAGATGACATGTACAATAGTTTCTGCTCATACTCTGGGGGGCCTCAGTTTTCCCCCTGCGTGTTGGGGATGATAGGGTGAGTGTGTTTAACAGGCGCCTAGGAAAGGGTGAATCTGAATTCCTTGAAGCCTAACTTCAGTTTTCCCCAACCTTCTAGCCCAGCTGGTGACTTCTTCCCTAGTTTATAATTAAATAAGGTAATATAAGTGAAAGTGCTTTGGAAAATTCTAAAGCTCTAGACAATGCTGGCCGCTGCTGTTGGCCTAGCAAGTTCCAGGGGTTGGTAAATAGTCTTCCTCTAATACCCATTAGGCCCTGCCTCTTCCTCCTCCGCCTTCCCTATCCCTCCCCTCTCTCTCATCCAGGGACAGCAGCGGTTTCCTTGATTTAAGCTGTTCTAGCATCACTGAGCTGTGTGTCAGGGGATGGAGAAGATGAGGGTGAGGAGGGGGGCTCCCTCCCTTCCTCCTGAGACTGTCAGCTTCTTTTCTTATGGGCATCTTTGGCTGAGTTCTGCCTTTCCCTAGAATACTTGCAAGGAAAAGAGACTAATTCCCAGCATCTGGCTGAACTAAAATAATTACATCTGAACAGCTTTGCTTCTGTCTTTCCAGCTCAGCATTCAGTGGGAGGATCAAAGGAAGAGGGTGGAGCCTGAGAGATGGTTTTTTCACTAGAGCAGGGCTTCCTGCTCAAATGAATACATTCTGCCGAAGTAGACAAACCCTCTCTTTATCCGTGGGGATGGCGTGGGCGGGCGCGGACCAGCAAAGGATTAGAGTGGACTCCGGAGTGTCGCCAGCATACTTTGATAGGTTATAGAAAAGCCTTGCTTGTCTGGAATTTAAATGCCAAGAGAGTTCTCACAATCAGAATTTGACCCAAAAACTAGTGAATGGTACTTGATGTTGACAGTGATGGGGTTAGGCTCCCAAAGGGCCTCCTGAATCCCCAAAGGTTTAATTCTGCCCAGCAGTAAAACTATTGTTACTGTGTGTAATATTGACCAGCATTTGCATAGTCCTAGTTTACCAAGCCTCTCTTATTTACAGTCTTATTTAATTCTCCCCACAGAGCTGGGGGCTGGGTGGCTGTGAGTGACCCTGTTTTACAGATGCAGAGAAGTTAAGTGGCCCTGCCTAAGATTGCTGGCATGGTAGCTCGGGCCTTGAAATCCCTAATCCTCCAGGAGTCTTTTTCTCACCCGTGGAGCCATGTGCCCTCATGAGACATGGAATAGTCAGGGACTTTGTGCTTAGTAGCCTTCAGCAGGCAGGCTGGCTTGGGGCAGTGAAGACTGGATTTCTGCAGAGGAGCAGGAGTGGTTGTTGATGCAGAGAGGCCAGTGTTGGCTCCCCCAGACCTGCCTTTCTTCAGGGTCAAGACTTCCTGGCTCAGGGTGATACATCCCAAGGGCCTCCCAGTCACATCTCTCCATACACCAGGGCAGCCTGGTCTGAGTGGTGGTGGTGGAGGGGCATGCCTGGCCTCTCAGGGGCCAGGAGAGTGGAAACTTCTCACTGCAACTATCCCTGGGGGACTTTGCCCCTTGGGGCTCACTAGTTTGCTCTAGTGTTCATTCATTTCTGTTCAGCAAATACACTTTGACTTAGTCACTGCCCTCCTAGGGTGTCTGATTTAGTGTGAGAGATGGAAATGCCAGCTAGCAATCCCAGTACAACAGCAGTCCTCACCCCGTCAGACCCATTGCCTCTTTCCATAACAAACATTTTATAACACTCCTTACTATCCTGAAGGAAAATTTATGGATATTATATAATATACATATATATATATGTATATATATATATATACATGTATATATATATATATATACACATACACATCCATACAGATGAGTGAATGTGCCCATGCAGCTACCTGGGGAAGATTGGTCCAGGCAGTGAGAACAGCCTGTGCAAAGGCCCTGGGGTAGTGGAGAGTGATGGATGATGAGGGGGACAGGTGGGAATGGTGGTTAGAGGGGCCAGATTGCATAGGACCTTGTCATAGGGGGACTTCATGGCCTTGAATCTTGATAAAGACAAAACTTTTGTTCTAAAGACAAACTTCAGGGAAAGCACAAAGTCCATAAAAATATAAATAGAATAGAAAAATCACCCAGACATAATCAGTGTTGACATTTTGATGTGTTTCCTCTAAGGCTTTTTTTCTGAGTGTACATGTATATAATTTTTTCTTATAATTGGCATAATGTGGTATCTAGTTTTATAGCCTGCATTTTCCCATGTCATTAGATATTTTTAGAAAATAAGTATTTGGTAACTGCATATTATTATTCTATTGTATAGATTGGCCATAATTTACTGGAACCCATTCTTTTATAGGAAATAATATAAACAATACTGTAGTGAACATCCTCATACCCAAATTGTTCTGTTTTGTTATGGGCTTTTTTGTTTTTTTGAACTTTAGCTGATGAATTTTGGTTAGTATCCCAGACACACAGTCTCAATGAATGGGAGGAAAAATGGTCAATCTGGGGTTTTTAGTTTCTGAATGACCAAATCAACAGATGCACAACTGATTGGATTGTTTGAGAAGTTGGTCATTAAGAAAACAAAGAAAAGCCAGCTTGACCTCAATGTGGTTATTATAGTTAGCACATAAAGATAGGCCTGGTCTCCTAGACCAACTTCTGTGCCCACCATCTGTGTTTGAATATACTCTTGTCTGTGGGGTCT